TTTTCTCGAAATTTACGAAATTCGTCTCGGTCGTTTGGGTTTACGATGAGAGAAAAATTAGACGATACGTACGCACACGTTTTGCGTTTATTTTTGCAATTTCACAAGATCGACTGACCCAGTTTTTGACGTAACCGTCGATCACGATTCACTTCGCGGATTCATACACCAGCTGAATATTAACTTTTAATTCGATATACGTATTTTTTATATCAAAACACCCAATCTAAGACTGCGCTAACAGATTCGGTACCTTCCTGCATTCCGCGCTTTACAATCGTCTCGCTCTCCGCAGCTGTACCTAACATATCAAAGCTTCTATGTTTTGAAGCTCGTGTTTAATATCTAGAAACCGTGCGAGTTTCCGCTTCCGCTCGCTCGCCGTCTCGAGGGAAGCAATCGGTTACTCCGGGAATGACCCCCCGCATATTTGAGGAATATCGAAATGTATTGTGTTCGTGGCGATCGCAGTGAGTAAAAATTTTACGCCGTCAAATTTAACAAGTAATCAACTTGGCACACAAAAAGTTCCTTATGTCTCCCGCTGAAATCTAATATTCAATCTGATAAATAATCATGCGCAGCGAAATACGAAGAGGGCGATTGTTCAAAAAATAATTTTATCGTACAATTCGGAAATAAATATCTCATCGCAAATGTTCGCTTTATAGCGATCGTCAGAACTCCGGCATTATTCTAAACGACATTTAAGCAAAAATCCGAAAGCTCTGTGCGCGTCAAAGCTTGAATCACTCGTATTCCTGGATGCTCCTATTTCCCGGCCAGTGTCAAATCTCGATAAAAACGGACGATTCTCATCGAAATTCCTCGGAGGCGACATGAGCAACGTGCTGCTCGCACGGCGGTTCTCTACGATTGATTGTACGAAAGCTTTTCTCTTTCTTCAGACAGAAATAGGTTGCGGTGTGTGTCGCGTGGGTGTCTGTTTCTTCTCCCTGTGCGCGAAATCGACGGACGGAGGTGTTCGTAAGCTCGCAATTAATCGATGCAATTACAGCCGACCGATTCGCGTGTCGCGTTCGATTGCGATAATTAATCGGGAGAGCCGGAATGAACCGGTGACGCATCGGTAAACGATCGAATTAACGGTCGCGCGGAACAACGGTAGAACAGGCTCTAACGCTAATAGATTGAATTAATTCAACGTGCGACAGGTACCGAAAGCGTTTGGAGATTTACGTTAATGGCGTTTGAATTAAAAAAAAAGGGGGGGGGGAGAAGAGAAAGAAAAAAATTTGTCGAAGTCCGGAGCTTCCAATGTTACGGAACAGCGAATCTGTGACGAGAGATATCGATATTGCAATATTTATTCTCTTAATTGGCCCGCGTACGTGGACACGGTCTTTAAACTTTAATTCCGTTCTTCTAGGCTCGGGATTTTACAGGCACAGGTACGAAGTTTTAACAGGTTCAACGCGCCTGAAAATTCGCGCAAAGTCGATCCTGCATATTAATATTTACAATATTCGCCAATTGCGAACAATACGAGAATCTATAATTGTACGTAACATTTTGGAAAGGGAGGAGTAACGAGATATAAAATTCGCATTTTTTAAACGTTACAAAGCACATCTCTTTTTGCGACTTTTCATTAAGGGATCGACTTACTGGACTCCTCTGAATTCCTTGGTTTTCCCGAATGCTCCTGGGAATGCTTCTGGAGCACGAAGTGCGAAACACCTCCGCGAATGCGTCGAAGAGACGAAGCGGCGTACACCGTAACGCGCATTTCTGCTAATGATTGTACGAGTGCTGTATGGCCTAAGAGGAGTCGTATACGACTTTCTAATCAATTTAAGTTGCTCTCAGGTCGCGTCGACGACAAGTCCTACGATCGATATCAGCCGATAGAAACCAGTGCTTTCGGTGATGATCGAAACATTCGTTAGACTTTGATATTATTCAAATACTCAATGATGGTAATCAACGTAAGACTCTAGATAAATGCGAGTGAATACAGGTCAACATCGATATTATTCCCATTTGCTTTCGTATATATTTTTACATTACAGTTATCTCTCTCCGTCCATGTAAGATCCGTGTTTTTATAAAAGGGTGTTCTTAATCTTTGTACAAACATCGCGTAATCGTACGATGCGATGAACATTAGTCCTCAGCGATACGCGCGAATATTCCGGAGATATTACTGTAAATCCGCGAATATGTTGCGAGGGGAACTTTAAACGGGCCGACATGTAATATTCAACGCACGGATATGACTCGATAATTGCGACATTCATGTAGCGTATTTTCCGAAAATATCTCCAGCGTACTTTTCTTGGGGGTATTCGGGCGGCTAGGAGCGCGCCGCTATCGATTGGAAAATACCTGTGCATACCAATGGCATCGTACGTCACGCAGCATCGGAACGCTCGGTCAGCCTGTTATCGGATATTCACGGCACCGATTGAACCCGCAAATCGCGAGCGATGTTTCGTTTCAACCAACTACCGAATATCTCGTCCTCAAACCTCATTCGATGAGTACACTACAAATTCAAGTGTGTAATTTTACATGTAGTCAGTTTTTACGCCTTTGTACACGTGTTAATACTATGATTTTATATACATAAATGCGTAAAAATTACACACTTGGATTTGTCGTCTAATTTTTACACACTTGTGTATGTAAAATTGTAATTTTTACACATTTATATGTGTAAAATTACACTAGTAACACGTGTAAATTACAAAAGGTGACTACACAAAGCGTGTAAAATTATACACTTGGATTTAAGTGCACCCGACTTGAAATTTTAGTTACACTACATTAAGGGCTGGTTGTTTCATCTTTGGATAAATTTGTGGAACGCTCTTTAGATCCATTAAATTGATAAGAATAATTAAATTTATTCGAATAAGTTTATCCGAAAATGGAACAATCGGCCCTAAATATTCAAAGGTCTTCCATTGTGCTCCTTTGATGCTACAAATGGAAAATTATTTCCGTTTTTCCCATTTGAAGACTTAGTGTAGAACTAAGTGGACTTAATTTAGGACCCAAATTTCGACTCAATTTGAGAAAGTTTCACGGCTGTTGGCCGAAACAGTCCCGTTTAATGACTCGTCTTTGCTGAGATTCTCGCGCCCGATTAGATACCCATCGGGGTATATTCCGCTGGCTGAAATCACGGCGGCAATAAATAAACGCGGCAAAATGCGGGCGAACAAAAATAAAAGCAATTAGCAATAAATCCTGGTGCCTGACGTAAACATACGCGCAGGTGGGCGGCCAACGATACACACCGTGAAGCTATTCTTTTCCGTGCAATTTTCGTAAAAGAGCAAAGGGCATATTTCAATAACGAAATCTCGATCGCTGCGTATCGAAAACGTACGGCGGCGAGAATAAAATATCTTCTGGACGATTGTGGTTGCTCGCCCCTGGAATGTTTTGAGACTCCATGTGTAATCGATACAGCATAATTTATTCACAAGTCTGTCGCATATACTCGCGAAATTTCGCTTCTCTCTTTTGGACCGATATGTTAGTAAACGCGATGAAAGACCTCGTTATTTCTCGTGAAATTTCGAAAGTTACGACTGTAACCGCGGGGACAAAGAGGAAATCTCGCTCGCCACGAGTGCTAAAGTCGCGTCGACGTAAATCGTCGCTACAAAGACCGAGAACTATCTTCGTTAGACATCACTGGATTCTCCCTCGCGATCTTTCGTATCCTCCTAAAGTTATCTAATTCTCGGAAAACACCCTAGAGAATAAAACTCCTGGATAATCCTCGTTATCTTTGTTCCTCTCGGGACAGACCTATCTTCTGCTATTGATGCGATCTTCGCGATTTCTAGTCGGCCGCGAACGATATGCTCTCGCGAGAAACTCGTCGGCTCGTTATATCGACGTGTTACATTTGGTGTATTTACAGCCGCCGCGGAGTGTCCGCTCGCGGTCAGTAAAAATGCGCGATTTAATTGTGCCGCGCCGTGTCTAAGTCGCCGGATAAAAGTGGTCTTCACGTGTCGAGAATAATGCCCTGTACGTCGGAGCGAGCATTCTCAACTTTTGTCAGCTCTTTTTAAGCACCCGGATAAGATTGCCTTTTAAAAGCCGAGGGCTACATTTTCGGAGGCTCTTATCGACGGCTCGAAGGGGTTAAACGACGCGAGCGAAACTTCCGAATGTAAATGAAAAATTAGATTAGCTCACGTTAATTAACAGCGTGCGATTAAAGCCCGAGACTACCGTTTACTCGATTTTCGCGAGAGTTCGCGGCAAGGTAAATATTAAATCAATTCACAACCGATCGGTGAACGATTTTACAGAGCAATTTACGCACAGACGTACGTTTGCATAGAGATAGCTGTATGAATCATGATTTTGTGCATTATTGTAAGAAGCAAAACGACAGCTGCGAGGAATCTGAGTGACGAAAACGAACGATCGGATAATATGTCGGAGACGTGAATCAGTCTTCAGTCCGCGGAACGCCCTTTCGGATCAAAATTGTACATGACGCCCGCGGGCGTTCCGATCGCGACAGCTCTTTCTACAAACCGCGTGCGTGACATTTGCGACACGCTTTGGCACACGTAGCTCGCTCACTTTAACTGATTTGCACATTGACGCTAAAAGCCGCGGTCTCACGCACTCGTTTCCATACGTCACGTCTGCACATCCGTCGTGTTTACAATGTGTGTACAATCGATTCGTGTATACGCGCGGCTATAGTGTATTACATGTAATACTATGTACAAAAGCAAAGAGACGGACGCGAGAGGACGCCGTTTTATTCCTTTCTTCTTCGACTGCTCCCCTGCGCTCTTCTCTTTCTTTTTTTTTTTTTTCCGTTACGCTCTTATCCGCGGTCTAAGCGTGCTTATCCCCGAGTCTGCGTATGCATCGTGTACATTGTGTAGGAATGAGAGAAAGACAGACAGAGAGAGAGAGAGAGAGAAAAAGAGAGAGAGAGAGAGAGAGAGAGAGAGACGGTCATGTGTAGGTGTTAATTTATGAACTCGTTATACCGGCGTCTTTGGCAGTTTCCTGCGCGTTGGCGACGAGGGCGCCTTCTCCGTTTCGGTTTCTGCAAAAAGATATTTCAAGATGCATCGTACCGCTCAATTCACTTGTCCTCGTCGGACGTTTTTTTTCTTTTTCTTTTCTTTTTTCCACGGCGACTACGGATGATGACGGGTTTAGGGCGTTCGCCGAGACTCCCTGACCTCGTGTGAGCGTAAACTCGTGTGGATGTTGAAAGCGTTCTGTTGAGGCTTATTTAATTTAATTCGGATGTACACAATGGTAGGGTAAAAGTCTGTTAGGTTGACTCTGTTACCGACAGAATCCAATTTTTTCATAAATTATAAAAAGTAAGGTGAATATTGAAATATTTGAAGATGAACTTGAGACAAATACAAGATCCGACTATTAATACGGACCTTGGTAACTGAGGCTCGGTAATACTCTCATTGTACTTTTTAGAAGATCCGGTAATTTAACAACAGTTAACAACAGTTTTTTCGAATAATAAGAGAAAAAGATGGAGACTTGGAATCTTCCATCGAGCGATTTTTAACGGCGACTTATTTATGGACGGATCATGCGATACGTGGTATTTAATTCGCGGATGCACGAGTGTACACGGGATCGTGTACGAATTTAGCGGCATAATCGAACGGATATTCAGGGATACGTTCGTCTTGCGAATATTTTTGAGATCGTGCGAAACCATGTCAGCGGTCAGAGAACCATTTTCGTCCTCGCGACGTCCTGGAATACCGGGGAACATTTATCCGCTATATAAAGCCATCGCGTACAACTCGGAGGCATTTATTTCGAGGGACGTCGGCCTATATACGAAGTACATGCCACCTTTTAGGCTTTTTCTCTTTTCTCTATGACGACCCACTTTCGCGGTGACCAATCTTCACCGCTGACCTCGACCCTCGTCGGATCAACCGAAAATGTGCGGACCGTCAGTGTTTTATATTTCATTACAACGTGCGTTATCATGTTACAAACGGCCGGCCGAGGACACGTGCGCTTTATTCGGCTCGGACGCGAGTAAATTCTCCTTTTTTTTTTTCACCGGAGCACCACCCACAACATATAAAAATACGCACGAAATCACATTGGGGGCGCGAAAAAATCAATAAGCGGATTCACGATAGCCGATTTACGAGAATCGTATAATGAAATTTTGGCTCGCGCATTAACTTTTACTTGGAAATCCCGCGAGGGAGGGATACATCGCTTTTGTACATCGAAGATCAATCGCAAGCAGTGGATATTCCAATACGAATGGACGCGATCGGGAGATTGTTCCGATAAATAGAATTCCTGTAGGTTTGAATCGTGGAAAAACGTGAGGCTCGAGCACAATAAACGTACTGTGTGTGTGTGTGTGTGTGTATATATTCCGGAAAATTCCGTATGCCGGTACTCACCCATCAAAAGGCCCAAATTCGTCGGTGCTTTGCCGGACTGCGGATCATCCAGCAGATCCCCGGTGCTGCTTTGCGCGCGTGTAAATCAGTCGGCGGGAAACACCATGAGGCGAACACACACAAGAAGTATCGATTTGCGGTTAGGTCTATTCGCGATCGTCTCAATATAACACTATTATCATGTGCCGACGTTGACTTACATATCGGTCGTGTGCTCCACCACCAATTCGGCCACATCGTCAGTCCGCTCGATTATCTGCTGTACCTCCTCGAAGCTCCGATCGATCAGAGACACGCCGGACCACTCCAATACCTGCACACACAACCGTTTCAGACGCACATTGCACATTATTTGGTTAGCCGTACTTTGTGCGTGGGTTTACTCAAACAGTATTTAACATAGGGGTGTCAGATACAACCCGCGTGATCCTTACGGCGAAAATAAATGCAGCAGGTTGCACAGCTAACTATCCTCATTTTTGTCACACGATTTATCCATGTAATTCATCGTATGTCATTTAGCAAATGAATTCCCATCGAGAATGTTTCAAACGGAATATAAACAATGGTACGCACGGAGAAAAATAATTTGCTGGCAAATTTTATGCAACAAAATCTTATTAAGAGTACTAATTGCCCATTCGCTGGATATATTTTGCTGAATATCTAAATTATTTCGCTGTCAGAATAAATGAGTAAATATAAGAAACAAATTATTTTATTCCAGCACCAATCAGCATTTTTCTCCGTGTGCAGTAGCAATGATATAGTTTTACTACAATAACAAAATTATTTTTTTTCGTGTAGGAAAGCAGAAATTTTTCTTGCAATGAAAATTATTCATCATCGTCAGCTCGCAAGTCTCTCAGTCAGAGAGATCACACAAACGATCAATTCGCGCGACGGACGCATAGCGACATATTCAGCTCACGTTATTTTCACGGTTATTGTACATTTGATATTCTCATGCGCGATATCTCTACTGCTGCACGTAAGAACGCGCGGGATATCTCGAGATCGCAATTTTCGGACGCGACGACGCCTCGGGATATCGCNGGGGGGGGGGGGGGGAAGGGAGCGACGTGGCAGAGGAATTCCCGGGAGTTCTAGACGTCGAGGTCGGCGACGGCGGCGGTGAAATTAATGTCAAGACGCGTCGAGGCGAGGGAGGCACACCGGATTGCAATCGGTCGTAAAGTACCGGTCCCGCCGGCTCTTTAAGTACTTTAATTACTCGAGCTGATTGCCGGCGGGGAAACGAAGGCGCCCGACGAGGGGTAAGCTGGCAAACTTTCGGACGGGGTGAGCACGCCGTGCTAATCCTCGAGACCAGGCCTCAGCTAGGGAGACATACCTCAGGATTAAGGTGCCGTCTGTCTTAACTCGGATAGGTGCTATTTATCGCGCGCACGTTCAAAAGCGTGAAAATGCGTTAAACACTCTAAACCGGCCGAATCGCGTCCGGTTGAATTCGAGTAATTTCCAGATATTTCGGATTGATTAAACGCGCTTGACAACACCCGCTATGCACATTGTCATTCACGCATCGCGTTACGCCTCGCTTCGCGCTGTTCCCATTTACTTAACGCTCGGCAAGGTGTCACGCATCAATTAATGAGAATCGAATTAAATGTCCGATCAGGTGGACGTAAGAGAGAAATATATCGTGATTATTACTAAACAGCGGAAAACTCATCCCTGTGAAAGCGTGAGTGCGAAATATTGCGTGCGAGCCGAGTCAACGTTCCCGTCGTGTTGGCAAAGCGTTTACGGGAAAAGGAAAGACAGCACGCGCGAAATCCAGGAAGAAATGTAATTTCGAATTCCACGGCACTTGATGAAACGTAAATGTAGCACAGTAATCGCACGCGGCGCGTTGAGACGTCCCGGTGTTCGAGTTTTTCTTCCTGGATTAAGGAATGCCCGCGATGAGAAACTTTGCGTCTACGCGGAAATGTTTGTTCGAGCGGGAAGCGAAAAGGTGTTTTCAACTTTCCGCAGATGTCGAACGCATTTCTTGAGTGCCTCTCCTTCTCTCTCTTTCTCTCATCTTTCCTAGACTTCCGGCTATGATAAAAAGGAGTTTGCGTAAGGGAAGAAGGGAACGATTTCGGACGAGCTGTGTGATAATGTAGAGTTTTCTCTTTATTCGATTCTTTTTGTGTTGCCACAAAAGCTTTTTCGTTCCTTGTTATAGATTTCGCAGTAGCTTCCCTGTATTTGGTGTCCATTTCTCGACGGTATATTCAAGGCATTTTCCGGCATTTGTTAGACTCAACAATATATTTCATGTCAAATTTTTCATCTGACATCAACCCTGCAAATTTTCTCGCATTTGAATAGAGGATGTCGACGTGTAACACTATACAGACTGTTATCCTTTGATGCTACAAATGATTAATTGCTTTTTTCTTTATATTTCGATATAAAGAAGGACCTATTTCAGAATTATTTAATATTCGTGTGTTTCTGTATTTAATCCTTGTTTTTGATTAAAAAAAATAATGTATTAAACTAACGTCGCATGATTTATGCTTCTTGATACACTACATTTGCATGAAATGAAATCGTGCAACTCTAGCTTTAATTATGTAACTGCTTCTCTTCTGTTGAAGTTTTTCCAGCTCGACGGAATTTGTAGAATTAACGTTGAAGGAAAATCTCGACTCTGCACGGTAAAGAAGTTTAGTTGAATTTACAAGACAGTAAACGAACTAAACGCGTTTTGACTGAAGGAAACAGAATTTCTAGTTATAAGAATTTGAGTCATAAGAATCAGAAATTCTGTTTTCTTCAACCAGAACACGTTTTGTTCGTTTACTATCTGGTAAATTCAATTAAACTTGTTTTCCGTGTGGATCCGTTATTTCTAAGATGTTCAGGTTGCTCCATAAAAGATATGTAATCGTGACGTTTAGCGTTATTTCGCGTTCCGCGTTTCAGTAAATTCCTCCAGCGATCCGGGATTTTTCGTATTCCCTCCAAATCTCTCCGGTTAACGAAATCAGTTACTTTTCCGGCCTCCTCGATTCTTTGCAGTCATTTCTCTCGTTTTGATCATTGAACCTTTTTTAAGTCTCGATCCGAAGCGGGTCACGCGCTATTACGCGCGCACAATTTTCTATCTCGATGCTTCAGAACGAGCTTTTCAACTTTCACGTTACATTGTGCGTATCCTCGTGGTGGTTTCTTTTTCTCTCCCTCGTTGCCGAGCCCTTATAGAGGGAAAATCGTCGTGGCCACGCCGGTAACTGGATGCAGGAAATGACGCGTACGCGAGCGATCAGGTTGCCGTTTCCTGATCCTTCTTTCATTGTGCGACGTATCGTAGCGTGCGATCAGTCAGAAAATAAATCCAATGCGCATTCGCGGTCAGGCGAAGGATATTCATGGGACACCGGCGGCAGCACAATGGCCGCCGAAGTTTAACTAAAAATGCGCCGCGCGGTTTTGAAAAGCCGATCGAACTCCATGACGCGACGAGAGCTATTGGAGCGAAAATTCGCGACACTACATCTGCGGGATGCGGGATGACCGTGTCGATCGAGATATCAAGAGGAAAAAAGTGTCACTGTTTATTACGAAAATTATAAAACAATCGTGCTCTCGCAAACGACTCGCGCTCATCCCTATCGCAGTTAGTTTTTGTAACGTGATAACACGTTTACGCGTAAAAAATTCACGTTGTATTTTTTACATCACGTCTACATATATTGAATTCTTCATTGAAATCAACAAACGCTCCAACGCCGGTATTTATAGTCAGATTTTGTATTTAAGACCGTCTTAAATTCATCCTCGGATTTTTCGTAGCCGATGAAATGAACCGTACAACAATCCGAAGATAAACTTAGGATGGTCTTATATACAGGATATCTTAGAATCACGGGGACAAACTTCGTATTGGCGTGGAATGAATTGAGATGAACAAAATTGTCCTGTACCATTTTGCAAAGAATACGCAAAATCTTGAGTTATTAATTATTGAAAATGATGAAGCTTCTTTAATTCTTCTTCTTTAATTAATAACTCCAAATTTTGTGTGTTATTTGCAAAATTGTACAGGATTTTTTGTTTATCTCAATCAGAGACACTTTGTATAAGATCTGACTTTGAATATTGGCCCAAGAAGCCTCTCCGTGATGTTGTTCTCAGAAGACGATGTCTTATTTCGCATAAAACAACAATTTCTACATAGTGAAATATAATTGTTAGTGAATTATTTTGAATTCCGTTAAACTGCGCCTATACAATAAATGGTCGTAAGATAAAATATTCCGTGTCGAATTTTCCTTCCCTACCTGCCTTTTAATCTAGCCTTATCGCGTTACTTATTTACGATACACGAGCGTTCCGTATTTCGTCCCATTCAGAAACATTATTTAAAATAAGCGACCCCATTGCGACCGTTTCAGCCTTCTAGAAACGCCTCTCCTTAGTTTCGCGTCGTCTCGAAAATTTACAGCATGCTATCCGTCCCTCCCGCCGTCCCCGGAAGCGTCCTTCTCCCGAGTAACGCGGTTGGGAGCGTCGCGTTTTTCCCAAATATTTTTCGCGACAATGACACGGAAAAGCGATGCGTTTGAACGACACGGCGATAACGCGCGAAGCGAGATTAATGTGAGTTCGCGTGAAATTTCCGCCGGGTAAAGGAAATATCGTGATGCGACAGACACGAACGAGGCGTGAGGATTTTAGCAGGTCGGTCGGAAATAAAATTTCGGAAATTACGCTGCCAACGTTTTCGCAGGCGAGCGCTAAAATTAATGGAGCGCGAGCATACATGCCCACACGGCAAATGTGAGATTTAACGGGATATTTCGCGGGAAAACGCGTTAGGTAGAGCGCGAAAAATGCGTGCGTTTAATAAGTTTCGTATTTTATATAGTTTATTCGAGAAATGTTGTATGTTTTCTGATTAAAAGTCCTTCGTTCAAAATCGCGGCCAGCTGTTCGTCCCATCCGATTAATGCGGAATAAAAAGCTGATGGAGTACGTTTTAAAATAATAACGAGAGAAATTTCGGACACGGTATTTACGGGACGTACGTGCTGCAGAATATTCATACGGAATATATTAGTCTTGCCGGGCGAAAGCGTGATAAGTGCTTTTTAGCGTTTTGTCCTTGCCATGTGTCGACTATGTTCATTCGTGTCGCTCATTGTTAGAATCTTGTAATGACGAATATTATAAATATCATGTACCCGATACTTCTATTGAAAATAGTATGCAATGGTTATTCTTGAGGATGTGTTTGTTATACCGGAGGATCCGGGTCGAGCAAAGTTAGCTTAAAGGTACAGACACCCGTCT